GGCGGTGGCAGCGGCACTGGGAAACCCAGCAAAGCTAAAGCTATGCTGGAGGCGGGGACGGTCGGCGGAGAGGTCCCGGGCCCCGGCCAGGGCGCGGCGCTCCTCGGCGTTGTGGATGAAGTGGCAGCGGGGCCCGTACGGGCAGAAGCCGATGGTGTGGAAGGTGCGGCACAGCTCCGTCTTGTACTTGGGGTGGCGGGTCAGGCTTCGGAGCTCATGGATGCCGTGCGCGAACTGGCACTTGTCGCCGTACTTACAGGCGCCATTCTCCTCGAAGGGGCGGCACAGCTCCGTCTTGTAGCGGCTGGAGTTGACCTGGCCGCTGCCCGGCTGCTTCTGGGTGGGCAGCAGCCGCTCACCCCCTTCCGAGAAAGAGCGGTCTCGGAAGCGGCTATCCCGCGAGCTCAGGGCTGGGGCCGGCTCGCCCTTGAGGCTGCTGAGAAGCTGGTTCTGGTGGAACTTGGAGCTGGGCAGGGTGACCGAGTGCCTCCGGGAGAAGCCCCCACCAGTCGGGGTGCCCACCGCCTTCCTGTCCAGCAAGCAGCCCCCCGCGCTGGGAGTACTGTAGTTGAGCATCTTGTTACTCTGGAGGAGAGAGAAGAGAGAGGATGGTTAGTGACAAAGGCCACCCACCAGGCCCAAAGAGGGTACCTGCTAATGGCAGCCCCCTCCACAATCAGAAATGCCCACCTCCAAGAAACCACCCCCACCCCTTCCCTGGCAGGCCCCCTCCCCCTTCTCCCACAGACCAGCCACCTGGGTTTACTTTGGCCCCCATGCATTAAAAAAAACCCCAAATCCTGGCCTATGTGAGAAGTTGTTTTATGCATGCACCCTATCCCATGCAGACCCCAGAAATGGACCCCCATCGTCCCATCCCAAAGCTACCACTTGTACCCATAAAACTCAACTTCTTTACCTCCCAAATAGATTCCTCCGTTCAATAGACCCCACATCACTCAGACCGCTCTAGACTGCCTTCCCCCCAACAAAAACAGGCAAACCTTGGAAGGCTAGAGCCCCACCCCCTTTTAATCAATCCCTGCTTAGTCAACCACCACTAAACTTGGCCTAAGACTCTTAACTTCCTCCTTCAGAAGTGTTCCCTTCCTTTAGCAACAGGTCTCCAGACTGCCTTTGCTTTTATCTTCGGGGCGGGGGGTGGGGGTGGGGGAGGGATCCCCTGTCCCCTGTCTGGGGTGAGGGGGGAAGAGGGATGTGATTCCTGAAAATGAAACTCATTGCCCCATGCTCGGGAAAGGGGTGCCTTCGACAGTGCTCTCTCCAGCGCGTCTGCCCACCCAACCTCCCTCCCCTGGGAAGATGCCTTTGCAATTAGTCTTCTGGCTCGGGGAGCAAGCTGGAATAAGAGCCCCAGTGTTTAATCTTTAACGCAAAGCTGCAGGTGGGAAGGAAAAAGCAAGCACCAAATCCCCCCACACGCCTGCCAGTCAATAATGGACTTGAGCGGCGGGGGGCAGAGCCACCACAGGCAGGTTTCTGTTCCACCGGGTTTCACCTGCCCAAACTGTACCCAAGATTTGGAAAGGGTGCTGGGGGTGGGGGTGGGGAATGACCTGGGAGTTGGCTCCCAGCCCATGTGGGTGTCATTGTGCAAATTCTAAAGTTGGTCCCTTAGGATCAGCTGCCCGGGATCGGGAATCTGTAACAGCAACCACCCCATGGAGAGCGGATTACAGGAACCAAGTTGAGAGCCGGTTCCCAACAATGGGGTTCATTTAAAAAGTCCTGGGGGGGGGAGGGGGGAGAGAAAGAGAAACAGATCAAAGAGCGAGAGAGCTGGGAAGAGAAGGAAGAAGAGCGGGAGAACTCAGGCAGCCGGGGCTACTGGAGTTTGGGAAAGCGCAGGGAAGAAAGGAAGCTGAAATTCCAACTTTTTGATGTTTCTCTTCAGCTCCTCGGTGTCCCTGCACCCCAACCCTGCAGCCCTGGGGCCCTGGCAGCTAGCTGCGCCGACTGGAGAAGCGAGCTGAGGAAAGAGAGCAACATGACCCGACGTGTTTAAAAGAAGGCAAAAACACTTCAGCAATTAAAAGCAGCCTAGCAGCTTCCCTATTTTTTTAGGAATAAAACTGGGGAGTCCATAGGCTTTTTTCGCTATGTACACTTAACCCGCCCTCCTGGGACGTTCTGGGCTTAAAACTTGCCTTTTCTCACACCCTCTGGCAAGCTACACGGCTTAAGGACGCCCCTAGTAAATCCTTCCTCCCCAAGACCCTTCAATTCAGACCGGCCTTTTTCTCATCGTGTCCCCCCACCCTCCGTATCTACGAGCCGCGGTCCCCCAGGAAACAAGTGGGTCTGCCCCAGCCCCACTTTCACCCGCAAGTTTGCAGCACGGCCGTCTATCCTAAGAGGAAGACGGGCCGAGTTGGGGCAAACGGAAGCCCCACAGCAACTCTGCAACATCTTCTGAATGACAACTGTTGCCTTTTTCTGGGAGATCACCAGCCCCTTCAAAACCGACGAGGCAATCTCCCGGCAAAAGGTCCGGAGACTCACTTCCCCGAGGGAGCCCCCTCCCCACCCTCCCCACCCCACAGGCCGGCGATGTGGCCAGAGACCGGAACCCCTCCGGTGGCGGCGATGCCCTGGGCACACACCGGGAAACCGAGCAGACCAGTGAGACTGGGCTCGGGCAGCACGTGACCACCGAAAAACTGCCCCCGCGTCCCTGGGGGAGCCCAGCCTCGCAAACGTAGCCCCCCAAAACGCTGGTCTCTGAATTACATTCCCATGCAATCGCCGCCAGAAACTGCTGAAACTCAAGGGGTGGGGAGGAGAGGGCCAAATTCCTTCAAACTGGGGAGGAGAGGAGGGATGGGCGTAGAAAAGAAAAGCTATCTTGGCTCCCGCCCCCCCTTGGCTTTCCCCCCGCCGCTTTCCTAGACATAAACTTTGGGGGGGTTTCTCTTCTTAGGGCAAAAGGGAACATCTTTTGAAAAAGCCAGCACTCCGCCCCACTTTACCTTGCATAAAACTTCGCTCAGGTCGAAGATGGTGGTAGACACGAGGGTGGTGGTCATCGTGGGCACTCGCACGGGGCAGGGACGAAGATCTGGTGTGTCGTGAAGGTCCCGGTGCGGGGAAGGCGCAGCCTCCGGCTCTCCGGTCAGGAGTCCCACACGCCGCTCCCGGGGCCCCTCGCCTTTCTGACTCTTCGGCTGCGGCGCGCGAAGCCCGCTTTATAGTAGCCCCGGAGAGGAGGAGTTTAAACGTATTTAAATGAGGAAGAGGAGGAAAAAAAAGTTGATTGACACTGAAGTTGAATCAGCCATGCGGTCAAACTCGGGGAGGAAAAAAAAAAACTTTCAAAAGGAAGAAGGGGGAAGGGAGACGAGGAAAGAAGGAGGGGCCGGGGGGGGGGGGGGAGGCAAAAAAAAAAAAAACCCACTCTGAGCAGCGCACAACTTTTTTTTCTTAAAGAGGAAAAGTTTTGAGTCCGCTCGCTTGGCTCCCCCGCGCCCTGCTCTCCAGCCGCGCGCCCCTCCTTTGTCAGCCTGAGCGCTGGGTTCTGTGACATCACTCATTCCACCCTCTTCGGGGTTCTTGTTGTGCTGTTGTGTTTTGTCGGGCAGGAAGGCGGGCTCGACTTTCTCTTTTTTGCAAGCGGGAGCAGAAGCCCGTGCTGAGCACCGCTGCGGTTTCCATCTTGAGCTGCTCTTTCTTCAAACTTCTGCAGTGCCCCGCACAGCTTACTCTTTGGCCGAATCGTCTTCCGCACTCGGCTCCCCTCCGCAAACCTGGCAGGGGAGGAGATTGGAAATGTGGGACGCACACAGCCTTCAACTCCGGAGTTTTACTTTTTTTTTTTTTTAAGGGGGTTGTGGGAGACTTTTTCCCCCCCGAGGAGGATCCGGCCTGGCGGGGGTGAGCGCAGCACGATTCGGCGCGCCGCACCCGTCTCCACTCGCGCTCCCTTTGCAGCCAGCCCTCTCTGATTGTAGGCCTGGGGGTCGGGGAGGGGGTTGTTTATTTTAGGAGGACTGGGAGTTGTATGTATTTCACGCGTCCGATCTTTAAACTTTTTTTGTAAAACAAAAACAAAACAAAAAAAAAACTTCCCCAAAAAACCCACCCGGCAACATACAACTTTCCACGCGCTCTCTGAACTGTGGGCCGCGCCGAAACAACACACACACACACACACACACACACACACACACGCACGCCCAGACGCTTGAACAATGAAAAAAAGTTACTTTGGCAAGAATGAAAGTAAAGAGATGGGGGAGGCGACACTTAACCTATTGTTGTTCCTCGCCCGCCCCCTCGGGAACGGAACATATGGCTTGTCATGCTGCGCTGTTTGGGCGGGATGGGGGGAGGGGGACATGGGGTCTTCCGAGCTCAAAGGCCCCCGATAGATTGTTACTCCTTTAAAAGCTGTAAGATTGTACTTAGTTACTGTTAGGCTCGGATGCCCCTCCACTCACCCAAATAAAAAGTTGTTAACGTGCCCCCCCCCCGCCCCCACGCCTTCGCGCGCGCGTGTGAAGTGAGGACCCGGGCGGAAACCGCAGGGCTGCGTTTTTCCTATTCCCCCGCGTGCCGGCCGCCTCCTCAGTCCGCGCACGTTTCTTCCCAGCACTCGAGGCCGCCGGGTCTGTTACGAAACCCCGTGTGCTGAGTGGCTAAGAGCGGGTTCCATTGCGATGTAATTAGGTCACCCCATTATGAGCACGTTTCTTTGGAAAGGACAGGGCGGGCGGAGCAGAGCGCTGGAGTCGCACTCTCACCACCACCACCACCATACACACTCACACACACTCACACACACACACACACTCACACGGTTTACTGCATTTCTTATTTATTCGTCAACCTTTGGCAAACCCGCGAAACCTTTCCAATCACAACTGTTTTTAGGAACTGGTTGTTTTTCATCTTTGCGAAACACACAACTTTTTCTGCAACCCTGAACCTACGTGATCCCCCGCCCCCGCCCCCCAACCCAGTCTGCTTTTATTTGTCGTCTTTGACTTAAATTGATGGCCCCCATTTTTAACCCGGCTGCTGCCCTTGCTTTTCCCTCTGCTGTCCGGCCGCCTGTTGCTTCCCTCCCTTTGCTCCCATTTTGCAGCTTTTCTTGAAATCTGGCAAGCGCCAGGAAGGGAAATAACTTCCATGCACCTTAATTTAAATCAATCAAATGTAAGTTTCTTTCTTCAAGGGAGGGATGTTTGCTCGCTCCTTTCCCCCGCTCCAAGAAGGGGGTGGGGGTTGGTTTCGGGCAGTTTCTTGGAGATGAGGTAATGAGTTCCAGATTTTAGGACAGAGCAGGGTGCGCGTTAAAAACCACAAGGTTAGTCTGCGTCCTGATGTGAAGTTATTTCGGTTGTTTTATCCCCCCGCCCCTCCCCCCCAAAGGGCCCATTGGTCTGAGGGTTCTCGAAGCTGTGCTGGGGGTACAGGGTGAGGTGGAGAACCGAGGGGTGAGGGGGACGCGCGGGGCGGTTGTTCCCGCCCGGGGCCGGGCCGCGCCCGCCGCTCCCCTCCCCTCTCCGGGGGCGCTCTCCCCCGCGCCTGCGGGACCGGCCCGAGCACCACTACCGGCCTCGGCGCCCCGGGCTACTTAGAACACCCCCCCCTCGCCACCCCCCGCAAAGAAAACCCGATTCCTCGAATTTCCTCCGCTTTTCCAACTCCCGGAGGGCACTCCCCTCCCCCGCTCCCGGAGGGGGCGCGGGCTCCGCGGGGCGGCGGCCAGCCTGGCCCGCTGGCCCCGGAGTTGTTTACCGGCCCGGCCGACCGACCGGGTTTGTTCCAGCTCCCAGAGCCTGCCTCTATAATTAAACCCTTTTTTTAATTGTCGGGTTGAAACGTCATTTCGGGGACTTTCCAAGGGTGAGGGAGCCGAGGGGAGGGAGCGAGCCTCCTTAACCCTTCGCTGACCCGGGCGCAGCTTCTGGCACGGCCGGGACGGGGTGGCGATCTGGGGGCCTGAGCCGGCCAGTCCCCGCGGAGAGGTGCTCCGCAAGTGCCCGATGGTGGCGGGAACGGCAGAGCCGCGACCCGGCAGGAAGCGCGACGGGAGGCGTGCACCGCCCTCCCCGCCGCTGGGCTCGGCGGGGCGCCCCGCGGCTCCTTCCCCGCGCCGTGCGCAGCGCAGAAGGGCCGCCCCTTCACCTGCACCGCCGCTTCCGACTGGGCGGCGCCGCGCCAGGTCCCCGGCCGGGCGGACTTCCGGGCCCTCCCTGCGCGCTGGGAGCCGGGCTCCGCGAGGGGCGGGCCTAGCCAGGTCTTTTTGGCTTGGGGGTACCAGGTTTTGTCAAAGGGGGAAAGTGAAAGTCCTCGGAATTAGGGAAACACGACGGATCTATTCTGTGACCAGTCTGGACCCTGGGCGCACCTCGAGGCAGGTGAGCGTGTGGGGCACTGGGCCGCTGACCGCGGGGCCGCTGGACCCTGGGCCTTTTCACCAAGCGCCCGCAAGGTCACTCCCTCCCCGGAACCCCCTCCTGGCCCTGGTGGCAGCGCAGGACCTGCCTTCCTAGAGCCCCGCGATGTTACAGTTCTTCCCCGGCTCCAGGTCATTTGCAAAATCCCCCAAATTCTTCGGATTTGGCCCCGCCCTCTCCCCCCAACCTCTGCTACCTGAGACCCTGGGACAGCCGCAGAATCCCTGGGTTAGAGGAGAGGGAGGGCCGAGAGCTGTCAGGTGCCTGGTTTAGATTTAACTGGTGCTCGGGGAATGCAGATTCCTCAGCTTGGACCCAGGCCCAGTGAATCAGACGCTTTGGGGTGGGGCCAGGAATCGGCATTTTAGTAAACTTTCTACCAGTGACTCAAACACTAAGATTTGAGAATCTGTGGTCCCGGATTTTAAAGTTGGGCCATTCTGGAGCGAGATACTGTCTTTGTGACTTTTCAAGACACTGACCAAAGCCTCAGTGTCCTCATCTCTAAAATGGGAATAATAATAGTCCTAAAATTGGCCGGTAAAAAATCTAGCTGAAATCTTTAATATGCCTACCCACTGTATGTAAACTAAACCATTCTCCGGGCCTCGTGACATCACAAAACTTTGGGTTGGGGTATGTATTTTGCAAAAGGATTCTTCAGGATAGATGTCATCAAATGGTCAACCGACAAGTTTGATCTGTATCACTTTCTGGCCCCACCCCCAGCCCTGGATAAGGCAGGCGTTGAGGCAGCCCCCCATACAGAAAGATTTTTCTGGTCCAAAATGTCAGTAGTACCAAGATTGGGAAACTCTATTTTAGGGGTTCTTTCCAACTCCACGTTTCCTGCATACTTGGTTAGGCCTCATCCCCATCCTCAAACCTTTCTCCATATGGCAGTGCAAGTGATCTCTTTCAAAACCTAGGTCTGATTTTGTGTTACAATTGCCTAAAACAGCGGTTCTCAACCTGTGGGTCGCGACCCCTTTGGCGGGTCAAACCACCCTTTCACAGGGGTCGCCTAAGACCATCGGAAAACACAGATATAATTACATATTGTTTTTGTGATTAATCACTATGCTTTAATTATGTTCACTTTGTAACAATGAAATTGGGGGTCACCACAACATGAGGAACTGTATTAAAGGGTCGCGGCATTAGGAAGGTTGAGAACCACTGGCCTAAAACCTTTGGCTCCTCATCTCCCTTAGAATAAAAACCAAACTCTTAGCCCAGCAAAATCTGATTCTTTTACTGCTCTAGCCTCCGCCTCTTCCCACCACTACCTCTCCCATTGGCGAGGGGCACACCTGTGCTCTCAGTTTCAGATGAAAATGAATAGTCCTTCCTCCTGCCCCAGGGCTTTGACACATGCTATTTCTTCTACTGAATGGAGCTTCCTTTGGCCCAAATCAATTTTAAATCACTCTTTAGAACCTAGCTCAAGCATCACTTCCTCAACCATTCTTGGTACCATTCTTGCTGTTCCTCTTCCCCCATCAAGGCAAGGTTATCAGTCTTCTCTCTTATGTCCACATGGAATGTTTAATTCCTTCAAAGCAGTTACTTCATTCGGTTTGTGAGTACACATTCCTACAAACTTTACTTAACATATAGTAACATTGACCGTTATTTGATATATAATTCTATGAATTTTAACATGGGAATAGATTCATTATAACCACCACCATGATCCAGAAACAGAACAGTCCCATCACCCCTTGTAGTCATATCCTCCCCCATCCCTTACTCTGTCAACCACTGCTCTGTTTTCCATACTATTATTTTGTCTTTTCCAGAATGCCAGATAAATGGAATCATGTAGTCTGCACGATTTCACACAATATAATGCCTTTTGAGATTTATGCGTGTTGTTGCATGTATTAATCATTCATTCCTTGTAATTGAAGAATAATATTTCACTATATGTGTATGTCACCAGTTTTTTATCCATTCACCTGATGGAGGACATTGGATTATTTCCAGTTTGGGGCCATATAGAATAAAGTTGCAGTAAACACTTGTGTACAGATTTTTGTGGGAACATAAATTCTTGTTTCTCTAGGGCCGTGGTCGGCAAACTGCGGCTCGCGAGCCACATGTGGCTCTTTGGCCCCTTGAGTGTGGCTCTTCCTAAGCCTTAGGAGTACCCTAATTAAGTTAATAACAATACCTACCTATATAGTTTAAGTTTAAAAAATTTGGCTCTCAAAAGAAATTTCAATCGTCGTACTGTTGATATTTGGCTCTGTTGACTAATGAGTTTGCCGACCAGTGCTCTAGGGTAAATAACTAGGAGCGGAATTGCTGAGTCATATGGTAAATGTATATTGAAATTTGCCTGGCCAGTTAGCTTAGTTGGTTGAGTGACATCCCATGCACTAGGAGGTTGTCAGTTTGATTTCAGTCAGGGCACACATCCGCTGGATTGCAATTGCAATTCCCAGTACGGTGTGTAGGAGGCAGCCGATCTATGTTTCTCCTTCTCCCTCTTCCTTTCTCTCTCTGAAATTTAAAAAAAAAAAAAAACGTAGCTAGTTTTGAGCATCGGCCTGTGGACCAAAGGGTTCCGGGTTTGATTCCAATCAAGGGCACGTACCTCGCTCGGTTGCAGGTTCCAAAAGAACAACTTTTTTTTTTTAAGTATATGGAAATTTATAGAAAACTGCCAAATCATATTTGAGAGTTGATATACCATTCTGCATCTCCAACAGCAACATCTAAGAGTTTCCAGTTGCTCCACATACTTACCTGCACTTACTACTGTACTTTTTATTTTAGTCATTCCAGTAAGTGTGTAGTGGTATCTTACTTCACTTTATGATATCTCAAGGTTTTAATTTGCATTTTTCTAATGGGTAATGATGGTGAATATGTTTCATAAGCTCATTTGCCAACTGTATGTCCTCTAGTGAAATGTCTGGTCAAGTGTTTTCACCATTTTTTAATTGATTGGTTGTTTTCTTACTGTTGAGTTTTAAGAGTTCTTTATATATTCTGGATACAGTTATGTTGTCAACTGTATCCAGAATACATGCAGATATTTTCTGCAGTTTGTATCTTTTCATTCTCTCAACAAAGTATGTTCACAGAGCAAAAGCTTTTAATTTTGATGAAGTCTAATATATCAGTTTTCTCTTTTCTGCATCATGCTTTTGGCGTCATGCCTAAGGACTCTTTGCCTAACCTTAGGTCATTAAGATTTTCTTCTAAAAGTTTTGTAGTTTATGTTTTACACTAATATCTATGATCCATTTGAAGTTAGTTTTTATGTAAAATGTGAAATTTAGGTTGAGGTTCATTTATTTTTATTTTTATTTATTTTATTATTTTATTTATTTATTTATTGCCTATGGATGTCCAATCCCAACACTGTTTATTGAAATGACTATCATTTTTCCATTGAATTATTTTTGCACCTATCCAAAAATCATTTGGCCATACTGGAATGAGTCTCTTTATTCTGTTCCACTGAGCTGTGTGTCCATTCCTTTGCCAATACCACACTGTCTTGATTATTGTAGCTTTATAGTAAGTCTTAAAATCAGGAGGTGTAATTCCTCTGGCTTTAGTCTTTTTAAAAAAATATATTTTATTGATTTTTTACAGAGAGGAAGGGAGAGGGATAGAGAGTTAGAAACATCGATGAGAGAGAAACATCAATCAGCTGCCTCCTGCACACCCCCTACTGGGGTTGTGCCCACAACCAAGGTACATGCCCTTGACCGGAATCGAACCTGGGACCCTTCAGTCCGCAGGCCGACGCTCTATCCACTGAGCCAAACCGGTTAGGGCTGGCTTTAGTTTAATCTTCACAGTTGTCTTAGGTATTCTAGTTCCATTGCCTTTTTATATAAATGTAGAGCCAGCTTGTCTATATCTACAAAAAAAGAAATCATACTGGGATTTTTATTAGAATGGCATTAAGTCTATAGATCAATTCAGGAAGAAATGGCATCTTTACAATGTTGAGTCTTCTACTCCATGAAAATGGTATGTCTATTTATGTAGGTCTTTTTTATTTCTTTAATTGGTGTTTTGTAGTTTTTAGCATACAGATACTATATATGTTTTGCTAGATTTATACCTAATATTTTTTGGGAGGGAGTTACTATTGTAATTTTTTTAATTTTTAGTTTCCAATTTCTCTTTATTAGTGTATAGAAATACAGCTGATTTTTGTACATTGACCTTGTATCCTATAATCTAATAAAGTTACTTTAGTGATAAGGTTTTTGTGTACATTCCTTAAGTTTTGTTTTTACACGTTCGCTTCGTTTTTTATCATGGGCACTCGTGTTATCTGCTAACAGGAATAGTTTAGTTTCTTTCTTTCAGTATTATACATCATATTTCTTTTTCTTGCCCTATTGCCCTGTTTAGGATTTCCGATATGATGTTGAATGGCACGGTGAAAGTGAACACCCTCGCCGTGATGGCAGTCTCAGGAGAAAGCATTCAGTCTTTCACTATTAAGTATGATGTTCGTTGTCGGGTTTTTGACATCTCCCTTCCCACCAGGATGTGTGCTCCAAGAGCAGGCTCTCTCCATTCTCAACTCAACCCTCAGTGCCGGGCACAATGCCTAGCACACAGTAGGCCCTCAATGAGCAATTCTCTACTTTGGTAATATATCCAGAACCACTATTCTGCGTGACAGACAACAGAGAATGTAGGTGAACATGCACAGATGTCACAAAAAAATGGCCTCACAATAAATATTCCAGTAGATCCAACTAGCCATCGGCCCCACGGAGTTGACAATTTTAAGCGGTAGAGCATCTATAGGTCAGCTTTCTAGCAAGCCATCCCGTGTCAAAACGTTTATCTATGAGGAATGGATGAGTGCAGTAAGATAATTATTTTAGATGGAGAGCATTCCATTCCCAAAGGGAATTTAAACAAAAAGCTCTCAGCTCTGAAAAACAGGGGCTTTCAGGGGAAAGAGTCCCACTGCTCTGAAATCGTAGGTCCTCAGACGGGTGGGGTTGTTTCGCTAAATTTATTTCAGCCGCTTATAGAAACAGAAGGGGGAAGAAGGGGCGGCGGCTTGCACACCAGCCCTGGCTCTGGGGTATTAATATCTGCCGGGTCAGGCTTTTATTTGGGTTTTGTTTTACCTTTTAGGGGTGGGGAGGCAAGCAACAGGAATATCTCACAGCTGCATGGCTTGAGCTGTGGTTTCCCACCTTGCTCCTTGCACACTCCCCCCAAGGCCACATCCAGCCCTCTCCTCCCCTGCCCCACCTTCCCACGGCTCTCTAGCCACTGAATACCAAGCACTGGGCCAGAGCTGTCTCTGCAGCCTCAGGCAGGCACCTTGGACACCAGATTTCCTCCTAGTCCCAGAAGGGGTTTGAGCATGAAGAGGGGAGAGAAATTGAGATTTCGATGGAATCTGTTTTCTTTCTGGCACAAGTGTGGGTCAGGGAGACTGGAGCCTTTGTCCCTAGCCCCCACCAGAACCCCCTCCCCACCCCACAGCTCCACCCCAGTGGCTCCACTACTTGAATGTTGGGGTTGTTGAGTATGAAATCCAGGCCTTTTTATCCCTGTGTTCCTTTTCCTCAGCTTCCCCAAAGCACTGGACACACCTTCTGCTCAGTGCCTGATACCTGAACAGTCCCTTCCGTCACGCCCACCCCTGCCCCATGTGAGCAAATGGAGTGAAATGAAACCATGTCATTGTTTTTTGTTTTGCTTTGTTTTTTAAATAATTTTTTTTATTGATTTCAGAGAAGAAGGGAGAGGGAGAGAGAGAAACATCAATGAAGAGAGAGAATCATTGATCAGCTGCCTCCTGCATCCCCCACCCCCAGCCCCCTCACTGGGGATTGAGCCCAAAACCCGGGCACGTGCCCTTGACTGGAAGGGAACCCAGGACCCTTCAATCCATAGGCCCGACACTCTATCCACTGGGCCAGACCGGCTAGGGCCCACCATGTTGTTTTTTAAAAACCCGTTCTTGTTCGGAATTTGGAATGCTTTGTGGAGCACAGATTAATTACCTCCCACAGATGTGGGGGAAACTGAGGCACCGGAGGGGAGGTGGCAGCAGGTGGCCAGCGCCCACTGCAGGCAGGTGAGATCAGGGTCCACTGGCTGGCTCTAGGAGGTGCCTGCTGAGCCTGAAAGGACCAGAGAAAGACTGGACTCCGGCCCGGCCCGGGAGCTTGCTGCTCTGTGGCCGCCATCTGAGGGCAGGCAGAGGAGGCACACCAGGAAGCTCAGGACTCAGCTGGGCTTAAGCCTTGAATAATCACCTGAGAATATGGGGAAGTACCTCCCACAGTGCCCCGCCCATGGGAACCGAACAAATGCTGGTTTGGTTCCTTGGCAAACTCCTGCTTCCTGGGTCACCAAAGAAGACAGGGAAGCAGCATCTGTCCTCTCCCCTCCCCCACCCCCAGGTACACTGCACAGAGGTTGGTGGGAGGGAAGATGCCTAGGAAGAATCTCCAAGGGGTTCTTGTCCAAATTGGGGAGTCTGCTTCAGCGTAAACAAGGGTATAGTACGTGCCTGTAAACTGTAAAGTCCTCACAAGTAAACCACGTTCCTGTATTGTCCGTCCTCCCACCAGCCAGTTTGCTTTGGAATGGTCCTCCAGCCCAGAGTGGGTCAGACCCCGCCCTGGGGAGCTGTTGTCTGAGAAGCGGGACCCACCTCCTCAGCCAGCGCAGGGATCAGATGGCTCTTGGAGGGTGGCCACATAGGCAGCCGGTGGAAGAGCGAGGATGGATCTTTGCCACAGCCCTGTGACTGCTTTAGGTCTGAGTTTCTCCCGCCAACTGCACCCTCCACCCCAGGGGCCTGCAGGCCCCAAACCAGGGCCTGCCCTCATCTGACCAAAGGCAACAGATCTGCTGCAGCTGTTCAGGGAGAGAACAAGCTCTCCCAGAGACAGGGAGGCAGCTGGAGAGAGATGCCTGCCAGCCCGGGGGTGTAAATATTTATACAACGTGGTGCGTGGGAAGAGGGAAGGCAGAGGTGGCAGGAACCAGGCGGCGCTGAGACCACAGGTTGAAGGGGCCTGTGCTTTGGCTTCAGGTGGAAAAGGCAAGAGGTGGCTGGGATCCTCATCTCCACCTGAATTCCTACATCACAGTGGCCAGTCCTTACTCCCAGCTGGCTCCTGGCAGAGTTGAGGGAAGAACTTAGAAAAAAAGGCATCGCCAGTTCCCTTACCGGTCTTCCTGTCTAGGATCACCCTGGAACCAGACACAACAAACCCACAAGGCCCAGGAGTAGGGGCTTGGGGGACTCCTGGGTCTGTGGTTCTAGAGTCTGAAAGAATTTGCCTGGCTGGAGGGGCTCAGGGTAGAGCATTGACCTATGGGCCAGGGAGTCATAGTTCGATTTCCGTTCCGGTCAGGGCACATGCCTGGGTTGCGAGCTCAATCCCCATTGTGGAGCATGCAGGAGGCAGCCAATGATTCTCTCTTGTCACTGATGCCTCTCTCTCTCTCTCTCTCTCTCTCTCTCTCCCTCTCTCTCTCTCTCTCTCCCTCCCTCCCTCCCTCCCGCCTTCCCTCCCTCTCACTCTCTGAAATCAATAAAAAAAATATCAAGAAAATAAAAAATAAATGTTTGAAAAAATACTGGATTCTAAGAGTTGGACTCCAGGGTTGAAGTCTTAGAACATAAGTAAATTGTAAACAGAATATTAAATGTAAGCAAAGATTTCTCTCAAGCTTCTATGTCATCAGCAGTACTTTTCTAAAGTGGCGGAGAACGTGGTGCATTAATGAAGATGAGGAGGAGGAAGGAGGGGACCTGGCCAAAGAGCAAGGTGTGGAGAAGGCGAGGGGGCCCTTGAGGGCACTTCCAGAGAAGCCCTTGGCCGCAGGCATCCAGGGCCTGGGAAAAGAGTACAGCCCCCGGGCCCACCTGGTGCTCTCGGGCCCCTCTGCCCCAGGATGCAGCTGGCTCCAGGTGTGCCCCAGGCAGAGCATGACATCCGCTCTCCTCTTGCTGCTCTCGGCTGGGCCTGCTAAGGACTCAGCCAGCGCCCAATGGCATTGACGCCCCAGGGTGGGAAGCAAGCCTGCGGCTGGGGGGACAGCCAGATGGACTCCAGTCGATTTGCCTCAGACAGCTGGGGAGCAGAGCCAGGACACTCCTCATCCCCCTCCCCACCCCTCCAGACAAGGAGGGGAGCGGCCGCCACTTCTAGGATTTCTCTGCCACCACACCCATTGAGAAGTGCCACCTGCTTCCATCAGTACCGGGGCTGACCCTCAGGACCTCCCACAGGTGGGGTTTGTGGTACTCCCCAGTGGCCAAGAACTTTGAAGGTACCTCACAGTTATCAGCGTCATCCTGCATTCTTTCTGTGTCCGGACAACGCCCACTGGCCCGGGGGTGGGCGCTGCTGGGAGGAAGGATCTTGTGCTGGAAACCTGCCCCTGCCTCCCTACCAGATCCTCCAGATGCTCAGGCCAACTTCAGCCAGACAGCGAGGATCAGGGGGTACCCAGACTCCCCCAAGAAGTTGACCCCAGGCAGCAAGTCATCCCACCCCCAGCCCAGAGCTTTACCAGCAACACCTGCCCAGGGGGTGCACCGTCCCTGAGCCCCAGCCCTTCTGGGTGGAACCTGGTGAGTCCCCCACCTGGACACCCAGAGAAGGGCAGGTTCCATGAGCAGTGGGGCCCAGGCCCACACAACGTGGAGGAAACACCATCTGCCCCAGCCCTGGGCCGGGCCTGGCAGCCATAGCCACCCTCACAGGGGGGCCCCTCTCCAGAAGGGAGCTCCTCTTCCAAGGACACCCAGGTCCTCGCTGCTACTGCGGCCCCGCCTGCCGGCTGTGGCCGCCTTCTTGCCAGCACTGCTTCAGCAGATGAACAAGAATAAAAGCCTGTGTGGCCCAAGGAAGTCTTTAGGGGAAAGAATTGAAGCTGAAGGAAAGCGGGGGAGGTTATAAGAAATAGGAGAGGAAAGAGATTCGGGAAACAGACAGAATAAACCATCCGGGAATCCAGATGTAAAACAAGGAAGGCCAAAAGAAGGGAAAAGTTATGCTAAGAAGGCAGAGTAGGGTGGGGAGGGGAATTGAGAACGAAAAAGAAGAAGAGGGCAGTTATAAATATTCTGCAAAGAGAGAAGTATGTGAAAGCAAACAACACCAGAAAAAAGAAAGAGAGACCCAGGAGAGAAAAGGAGGCAGCGATGAACTTAACAACAACTGCGTTGACCCTCAACCAACCACACTCATTAGTTCTGAGTCTGACGGCTCTTTGTGGATTTCGGGCTCCTCTGAACACAGAGCAAGGACAGCCCTAGAAAAGCAAGCTTTCCTTCTTGCCCTTGGTTTTCCTACAGTGCTCCCAACTTACCCCAGCTGGTGGTATTTTGCAGAGTGAGGACTGATCTTCCTGGACAAGGCCAAGAACGTACCAGTTCACCCCAGCCTGGCGCCCCCCATCATGGAGCCCCCCATCATGGTGTCCCCCGGCAGGCTCACTGGAGAGCCTGAGCAGGAGGAGCCCGTGCAGGCAGGAGAAGCCATAGGGGTGACAGAGCCTTGTTACTGGCTCTGCATCTTCCAGGGAGCAGCTTTCCCAGCCACCTCTCCTGCACCAGGGCGAACCCCACCCACGGACACACCATCCCAGAACAGCAGGGCATCCTGGAAGACGGGCATGCCCAACTCTACGCAAAGCCAGAGGCGCCCCAGCAAGTGGTACTTTTGCAAACAATTTAGATGACTTAAATTAATTGCCAGGCATTGCCAAGGAGACCTACAGATAGCCACGGCTTTCCCATCGCCATAATTGGCCAACAGGTACGTGAAGTTCACGTTGTGTCCATCAACTCCGTGAGCGCTTAGGTCCTGGTTCCTTTCCCTGTGTCTGCGTGGCCTCTTTCAGCCTCTCCTGCCTCTCCTTCTCCTGTGAGTTGGCCACTGCCACGCTTCTCTGTGTTTGCTTGGGCTATGCCAAGCCCCTTACTTAGTCAGATCCACCTCTGCCCCCTCTTCTATTTCTTCAGGACGGCAGGAGTTGGGAGAAAGCTGAAGCAAACCAAGGCAAAATCGAGAAGCAAAGGCAGTGAAAATGCAAGTGAGTTTGGGTTAGTGTCCCGTCATGCCGTGCTCAGGCCTTCCCCCGTGGGCAGGGCGGGCTCCTCATGGCCAGGGGTCCGAGCCTCCCTCGCCACCTGAAACTGCTCCTCCAGAGTTCAGCCAAGGGGACGCCACTCGGGCTGAACTCTGATCGACTGGGACAAAGAAAACGGCGCCTGTGCCAGCCTTTCTCCCTCTAAGAATTCTGAAGTCACTTGCCCCTGATTCTGTAAGTCACATTTTCCTTCTATCAAAAATTGTGGCGAAATAGGCAGAAGGGATCCTGTCTAGGTTGTGGCCTCAGGTACTCAACCCAGTTTCTTCCCATCCCTCCTAACCTTCAAACCTGTCTCGGTCATATACTGTGTGACTCCAACTATTATTTAACCATGAAAAAAAAAAAAAAAGACAAACCAGGAAATTAGAGGCTGAATGACCTAAAATTTATTCCATTCAACTGAGCTAATCTCCTAATAAGGGTGTGTATAATAATAAGTCATACTATGTCTGTTCTGGAAGATGTGAAGAACATTGCAGGGAAAAGTGCATGGTGACTGCAGATCCCAACTTGTCAAGATTTGTCCTCAAAAGGCTAAAGAGTCTGGGCCTCGGCCAAGTTGCCTAGCAGTTTGCTAGACGAGTCTCAACATTTGGGAACAGAGAGCGCCCAACGTTCAGGCTGACCACAGCCAATCCTGGCACCGCCACTTCCTCGGCAAGCAGGGGACCGACTTACCTGCCTGCTTAAGTCTTCCTCGCTGCGAAATGGCAGTGACAGTAATACCCACCTCCTGGGGCTGCTGGAAGGACAGATGAGCAAAGCACTTGGCATGTGCACGCGCCCCCACCCCTACCCCCCTTCCCAAACGTAGCCCTACTCAACTGTTGCTGTATGTTAAACAGGGACTTGGCAAGACCAAGAAGAAGGTTGGAGGCCCCACCAAGTGGGGTTCCACGGAGTCCCTGGAACACAGTCAAGTATCCCGAGCAAGAGAGGGAAGAGGGTCCCAGAGGAGGCCCAGGCAGCTGGCGGGTGGAGCGCTCGCAGAAAGCCAAGGACAGCCACTCGCAGCCGGGCTCCGCGTGGGCGGGAGGACGCAGGGGGCTGCGGGCAAACCCCCCCCCCCCCCCCCCCGCCTTAGCTCAGCGGGCTGCAGCCCCACCCTTGCGTGTGCTCATCCTGCCGAGGAGCTCCGTGCACTGACCGGGCCGCTGTGTGCACGGCTCTGGCCAGCGGGAGCTATAGCGGGGCGAGGCTATGACGGGCCTGCTGGCCTCAGAGACTCAACAACCGGGCGTTTCTGCCCACAGCCACAGATCTGTCCTGTTAGGAGCTAGGTTGTAGGGACGTGACCAACTGCTGAGAAAGTCTCATTTCAGAACTGGGCTTTTTCTGAAAAACAGGGGTAGGGGTTAAAATGTTCTGGAAATGTGAACACCAACTGAATCTTGGTAATATTTAGGGGGCATTATTAAGTTTTAGGTGCGATAAGGATACTGTGGTTAAGTTTAAGTTTCATGTGGTTTTTTTGAAGATACATACGGAAATGCTGATCATGATACGATCTGACATATAGGATTTACTTCACAATTACCTGGGCGGCGGGGAAGCAGATGGTAATAGAAATGGACAGCGTGGGCAGGATTTGGTGACGCCGGTGATGGGCATATGGGGCTTCACCATACGACGCTATCTCCTGTATATGTTTGGAATTTTCTGTACTAAAATGTTTTAAGTTCATAAAAGCTGTAAGAATTTTTTAACTCAAAGATTCTGGTCGTATTGGGTTTTTGTTGTTGTCGTTTTGTTTGTTTTTTAATCTTCACCCGAGGATACGTTCTCACTGATTTTTAGAGAGAGAGGGAGGGGGAGAGAGAGGAGCATCGATGTGAGAGAGAAACATTGACTGGTTGCCTCCTGTACACACCTGGACCCACCCTGACTGGGAGTCACACCCACAGGACAACACCCAGCCAACCAGGGCTCAGTGGTTCTTGCAACACGGTATTGACCTTCTGAGGGCATGCGCTCTGGGACAGCAGGGACAGCAGGCGAGTCTGTGTAGGGAGATCTTGCAGGCGCCGGGGAGGGCTGGACAACAGGCAGGAAGACCTGCCCCCTCCCCCCCCCCCCCCGCACCCCCGCCAGGGTCACGCTGAGGACCAAGAGTGGTGCCTGCCCCTCAGGTCCGCTCAGACTGGGAAAAACATTCCAGGGACCTGGTGTCCACCTTGCACTGCTTTTAATCTCAACGAAAATGATTTTTTAAATTGGTTTCAATGTCTTTTAAGCCTCAGTGAACTGTCCCCTGCTCTCCCCCACCCCCACCCCCACCCCAGCAAAGTGGGCAAGCTACTCAACCTTTCTAAATTCACTTTCCTCAACTGGAAAATGGGGGGGAATCACCCAGACCCATTTTCTAGGGTGATGGTAAGTGAGATAAATGTAGGTAAAGTGCCCCGACGCTGGTCAGCACTGATAAAGGGCGGTTCTGATTTGAGGGGTTTTGGCAAATGTTGACCTTTCGCCTCTGAGGAGCACAGTAGAGCCGCCCCATCTTGGGCTTAAACAAGAGTTAAGGCACACACATGCTGAGGTCTCTTTGATCAGGCGTCTTACTGGATGTCGGCCCTTTCAGGTGTCACAGAGAAGTCACTGCTGTCTTCCTCCCTCCCTGCTCAGGAGGAACAGGCCACGTGGGACGGAGCCACGCTGCTCTCTCTCTGGGTGAAGAATGAGTTGGAAAATGAGAAATAGGGCACAGCTCCCTCTGGGCCATGGCTTTGAATGGCGAAAGGCATTTCGAGAAAGCAGGCCTTTGGCAGATCAGCTATTCTCCAAAGATGGAGCCAGGGGGTGCAGGGTACGTGGACCAAGAGCAGGCCCCGGCTCAGGAGCACACTTCACAGGGACCTTCAGGGGGCCTTCCCCTCTGAGCCTTGGGCAAGTGGTCCTGAAGGCTTCCAGACAGCAGGGGGCAGCACCGCACACCCTCCCCAGCCACAGAGACCCACCAAATGGCCAGGCAAGGTGACCTGGCCACAGACATTTTTCCCAGAACAGATCTAAGTCGCCATGATGTGCAGAGGGAGGAATCCCAGGATGGGCAGGTGACCCACACAGCCTGCTCCTAAGTCTTTGCCACTTGCCCCAGGCAACTGGTTAGTGGCTTCCTGTGAGACAAGTTTCAGCCAGAAGAGGGTATTTGTGACTTCGGGTGAAAAACCCACAGGCTACGGAGGAAGGAGGGGACATAAGCAGAAGGTAGTCCAGTGGCTGCGAGCTCAGGGGCTAAGGGCATAGGCTTCGGAACCACAATGCCTGGGTTCAAGTCCCAGCTCTGCTATTGACCAGCCCTGTAACAACGGGCAAGGTACTGCCCCCTCTGTGCCTCAGTTTCCTCCTCTGCACGGTGAGGACAGTGGCTCTGTCGGGCAGAGCTGTTGCTTCAACAGGGACTGGCAGGTAGAAAGCCCTCAATAAGTATTAGCAAAGCTTCCTCCTCAGCTCCATGGGGGTGTGCTACCAATGACCCCCAGGCCTGGGAGAAAGAACTGCACTAGAGGAAGTGTAACGTTTTCATAGGCAGCGGCTCAGAGACACGCGTAGAACACAGACCGAAAGGCCCCCAATGTGTGCTGCCTTCCGTGGAAACACAGCAGGTCCTGTACACCACCGGCTACAGAGGAGCACAGAGCAGAGGCCCCACGTCTGGAGCAGGAATGGGTTTCCCTAGGGCTTTCCTGGAGGGGTGCAGAGGGAAAGCCATCCTGGGTGCAGCCCTCCGGTGCCCACTTGGGTTTGGTGCAGGACAAGCAGGAGACTAAGCTGGGCTTCCTAAACGCATGGCCTGGGTCAGAGGCTGAGAGGCAGGCTGGCAGCCCTGTGCCCTGTGCGGGCCAGGCCCACGTGGGCAGGCCCCAGAGGCTGTGAGGAGCCCGCCCGCCTCACAGCAGGGTTGGGCTTCTCCGAGGCGAGGCCGTGCGGAGAAGGGGAGGAAAGAGTTAAGCCCACTCTGGGCTCTGGAGGAGGGCTCGGCTGCTATAAACAGTGAGCCAAGGGAGGGAGGGAGCTGACACAGGATGTGGCCAGGGCTCGAGCTGTCTGATTATTAACTTCACTTTTATTTGGAGGGGGATTCGATTCTCTGTTTTACTTCCCATCGAGGAAGTGAAAGCCCAGGTCTCAGAGGGGCCGGTTTCAAATTGTTTTGTCACAGCTCATTTATTTTTCCTCTTAAATAAATAAACAAAACCACCTCTTTGTTTTCCCCTTAATGAGCGTTCA